GCAGGTGATGGTATTCGCAGAAACGGGCTCGCAATGCCGCGGTGTCATTCGCCGCTGGGGTGCGGAAGAACTTCTTGAAAAGCTCAAAGGCCTTTTTATCCACATGTGTGCCTTCCAGGATATGTTTGGTAGGGAGATCAGGCTTGGGCGGGGGGTTAGGATTCGCCTTTTCCTCAGCGTCGATCTGTTTTATTTTCTCCCCGTACGCTTTGACAAACTGTGTCATGGAGACTTCCACCTTTGACACCGCCTCGAGAAGTACTTCAGGTGGGGGTTTCTTTCCCTTGGTTATAGCATCTTTGGTCATGCTCAGCGTTGCCAAATATTTCCCCGGGCTGTTTCGGGAAGTCGAAATGACAAGTGAGGTCACCTTTCCAGAAAGTTGCGCCAGGCTCGCACCCTTTGAGGCTTCAATAACCAGAGCATTGACTGATCGCTGAAAGAGGATATCGGTAATCACATCGTCGAGGACGATATCGGAGAGCGGTGGAATGGGCGATTTCAGAATAGCCTTTGCCTTGATCTTCTTGAGCGCCGTTGTCACATTCAGGGCGGTGTCTCCACCCATCTTCTCCACCATCTTCTGCATTTCCTTCTTTGCGGCATCTTCGACCTTGATACATTCCAGGTTGGCTTTGATCGTGTCTTCATCCAGATTCAGGTCGGGATCGGCAGCGGCGGAGGGATTGTCAGAGGCTTGCATCTTTAATCGAAGGTTCATCATGACTTCGACCACGTTATTGCAGGTTCGCGTCTTTCCGTCACCGGTGGTGACGTCGACCGTGAAGCCTTTGGCATTTGGTTTAGCAAGCATCTCTTCAAGAGCCTTGAAGGATTTTTGTAGGACTGGGGACATTGGACCGTTGAGTTCCAGTACGCTGCGCAAGTCGGTGATGGCAGTTTGGACATCGTGCGGATCTGAGGCACTGAAGAAACCCTTCATCACACTGAGGGCTTGAGAAAAGGCATCGGCATTAGATGATGCCAAGGTGTTTTGAAGAACTGTTGTCAAGCTTGCTGAGGTGCTGGCAGTTGTGCGCGTCCCTGTCGCAGCAGGGGGAGGCTGAAGTTGTGAAATAGCGGGTTCGGCATCCAGGATCATCTGCCGGAATTCATTGTTTTTTCTCTCGGCTTCCGCCATCTCAGAATTAGCTTGATCCAGCTTCACACGGGCGTCCGCAGGAGAGACCCTTCCAGCATTTACGTCGTGTCGAATTTTATCCAGCCTGCCCCGTATTCTGCGCACGATATGCTCGTTCTCCTTGGCGGCCTCCAAAATGGCGCTGTTTTTGGGATCGAGAAGAAAGTCTTTGGAAGCCATGGGGAGCAAATCTAACGCCGATGTCTCCAAAGCACCGGCAGCGCTGCCTTTGTCATCCTTCGGTGTGGGTAGGAAATGAAGGCTGTTGCGAGCTTTTTCTAAAAGAGCGTTTCTGCGGGCTCTTGTGGCGGCTTCCTCCTCGTCGTCTTTCTTAACCCGCACTAATTCCACATCCCTCTGCTTGCGCAGTGCGTTTTGCATTCTCTGCGATTTCTCTGCCATGATTCTCGCATGGTAGTATTTGATCGTGTCCATCTCCATCCAAGAGATGCCCGTCTTTGCCCGCAAACAGATTTCGTGGTTACAAGAGGCATCAGCGCCCTCGGCCCTCTCCGCTCCTGTCACGTCAAAGTCCAAGCAGCAGGTTCCCGGGCCAGTAAATTTGAAGTCACCTCCTAATTGAGATTTGAAGAGCTTGTCTAGAGCCGTCGCGTTCTCATCGAGGAGGGCTCTCTGCGTTTGATGCCTGGAGGATCTCTGTTCCAGCTCGTTTTTCTCCTTTTCCAGTTTAGCTCTTTCGCTGAGCAATTCGTTGTAGGTTCGGATGTCCTCGTCCGCCCACCCTGCCACATTATGGCCGTCGGCCGCTTTCAGAGGGCTCGTCGGCCTGGGAAGAGAAACCGATTCGGAATATAACTCTTGCGGAGTGTCACTCGTCGCCGATTTGAGGCTTTTACCTTTCGGCTTGCCCATCCTCCTTACGAAGAAAGTGGGATATAAAGGGAATTGGCCGCTGAGAAGTAGCTAAGCGGTCGGACAATCGATGGTGTGGTTGAATGCCGGGCTGCCGGACTTTGCTGTGTTTCTAGGTGGGGCAGCTTTGCTGCTTCAAATGTGATGGCGTCGGCAACGGAAATGTCGTCCAAAAGGCCAGCGCGGCTTCACTATCACCAGGCTAGCGGTTTTTCACCGTACAATGATATTGACGGTCTTAATGGTGGATATTCGGCGTGAAAACTCTCGACAGCTGCGACCCCAACCGGCTAAAGGCTCAAAGAGGACCTTTACTATATCATGGAACTCTGCATCACGATTTGATGATACGGAAAAACATGGTTTGGTTAGAGACGCCCTCATGTTTCCAGGGAAAGTAGACTGCAGCCCCCAGTCTTGGAATTTTGGCAGAGTCCGTCGTATTGCGCTCGCGTGGCGTTGGTGGAAGACGTCTTACGACCAAGGCTGGATGGACGGAGAAATCAAGCCCTTAGTGTAGAATCAAGGACAGCCTCGACAGCAAGGCCACTTTCCTATTAAGTCTCGAAAAGGCACCAGATGGACAGGATGGCCATCTCGCGATGGGATGGAGGCTGCGAGAGTCTTAGAAAGCAAGACAAACCAAGCTGAGGTTAGTTTGAAGTTGGTTTGCCAGGGCAAGTCGATGGCGATTTCTGCAGGCCTTTAGCCGGTCTTGGCCCGGCCTCGGATTTTCTATTCTTCCGCCAGCCTATATCAAATTTGCCATGCCACCATTATCTCGATGGCTCGATGGGCATCAGATGGGTTGCCGGTCAGAGAGCTGCTGAGCTGGCCCATGTCAAGATGGCTACACCCTTAGTGACGGGCAACAACGGTAGCGTCCTTGTGGATAACGTCCAGGAAATCATCCGCGCCTCCGCCAACCACGACATACGGGCACTAGAAAGGTGTATCGATCATTATTCATTCCCGGACTGCAAAGCTGTCGATGTCCAAGATTCAGTCACAGGCTTCACACCGCTGCATGCCGCAATATCTACCTGTGCAAGACAGGTCAACGGAGATGCTGCTCATCCTGTGCATAGTGAAGAGAGTGGTGTTCGATTTCTCAAGTTCTTGCTCGAGAATGGCGCGATCTGGAACCAGCTAGACAAGAATGATGAGACCCCCGGCTGCATTGCCTACCGTCTGGGTCTGCATGGTCTCTACCAAATTATGGTTGATGCTGGAGTCCGCGCCGAGATGGTTCTCAATCGCCTGGAAGAGTACGAAAGACTCCACGGCGGCGAAGACGGCGAGGATGTCAACGGGGCAGAAGGGTCGCATGGTCGGGACAATTTGGAAGCCAACGGTCTGCAGGAACATGTCACAAGCTCTGTCTACCTCTCCTCAGCCCTATCAGTCGGCGACAACAGACTTCTAGATGAACAACAAAACGGTGTCATGATGTCATGGGAAAGCGACGTTATGCTTCGGTCTGCTCATGCTCTACTCTCAGAACCGGGACTCAAGATCTTGAACATCGGCTTCGGCATGGGCATCATCGATACGCACATTCAAAACCATGCCAACAAACCAGCTAGTCACCATATTGTGGAAGCTCACCCCGATGTTCTCAGTAACATGGAAAGAAATGGATGGATGGAGAAGTCCGACGTGGTCGCTCACAGAGGAAAATGGCAAACTGTACTTCCGCAACTCATCGCAGAAGGCGAGACCTTTGACGCCATCTACTTCGACATCTTCGCAGAGTCATATAGCACATTTCGCGGCTTTTTTTCGGAGCAAGTGATCAGCCTCCTGAACCAGAACGGCCGGTGGTCCTTCTTCAACGGCATGGGTGCCGATAGACAGATCACCTACGACGTGTATCAGAAGGTTGTCGAGTTTGACTTGTTTGAGTCCGATTTCGACGTGGAATGGGAGACCGTTGAGCTCCCCGATTTGACGCGGGAATGGCAGGGCGTCCGCCGAAAATACTGGAACATCGACCGCTATCGATTGCCAATTTGCAAATTCATGGATTGATTTGTGGGCAGTTCAGGTCCCGTTCCTCACGTTCTGAACCCAGTTCCTGTTACTCAAAATGACTAACATGATGGTACTTCTGTGCCTTTGTACCACCAAGCTGTGTCTCGGACATATTTCCTCCTCGTCCGGTCACCATTTGCTCTAGGGATTCCTCAGTCAGTACGAATCAACGGAGTGTCAGCGGACCCATCGACAACCTCATTGAGTTTGGACGAGCAACGCATTGGGATGCCTCGCAGTCCTGGTTTGGTGAATGAGGAGAAGACCAGGATGAGGCCTAGGGAGCCTGACCTCGACAGCCCAATCCGCGAACGCAAAACCAGTTCGGTGCCATTGCCCCGAGCCGGCAGAGGAAGCAGCGCTGTCGAACAAGACAAAGTTCCCAGGGCAGCATAAGGACATCTTCTTGTGCCACCCCCCTGATTACCGTACACTCCTATGATGACCCTCCACAAATTCAACAACATCAACTATTCAGAACCAACCAGGAGCGTGCCACTCGTCCACCGTGAAACCATCCAGTGAGGCGTATCGAGGACCTTGGGAGGACGTACATATCTCGGAAATCATCCCGCCCGAGCTGCGTTCGGTCCTCATTGCCCCGCACTTTCTCTCACTCCATCTTTCTCCTCCTCGCCCAAGCTCGCCCTACTGTTGCTCACGCATGTCGCTACTCCACCTTCAAGTGGTTCGAGGACAATCAATGGATAACTCACGCTGGTAGGTTTACCACAACACTCCGCGTGTCCGGAGAGGAGAAGACCTCGGGATGACAGCAGCGAGATTGGCAACGTTGCACAATGTAAACATATATCTTTCGTTGTCCGAGTGAGGCCCAGGCGCTCCCGACCTGCAAAAAACTCGAAGCCATTCAAGGATCACCTCGCCTAGGATATCGAACAGCACCTCGACCCTTCATCCGTCGAATCTCGAGATCTATCGTACAGAACAAATGGCCAGGCGGACCGCAATCGTGACAGGCTCATCTCGCGGGATGTAAGTATACTTCTACATGCTGGTGTATCAATCAGCACTCCCTAACCCTTCCTTTCCTCCCAGCGGCGAAGCCATCGCTCGGCGCCTTGCAGCAGAAGGCTACGCCGTCTGCATCAACGACGTCTCGGCCAATAAACCCGGCATCGACAAACTTGTCTCCGAGCTCAACTCCAAACATGGCTCCGGCGCCGCCATCGGCGTAGTCGCCGACGTAACTTCCTCAGAAGAAGTGCAGTCCATGATAAAAGAGTCGGTAGAAAAGCTTGGTCCCCTGACGGTGATGGTCGCGAACGCCGGCATCGCGCAGGTCGCTCCGGCACTGGACATTTCCGACGCAGACGTCCGCAGAATGTTCGACGTGAACTTCATGGGAGTGTGGCTATGTTATACGCACGCGGCGAGACAGATGATATCTCAGGGACCCGTGCCCGAAGGGAGCAGTGGATACAAGATCCTTGGTGCAGCAAGCATCGTTGCCTTCAAGCCGTTTCCGCTCCTGTCGCACTACAGCGCGTCGAAATGGGCAGTCAGGGGACTCACACAAGTGTTTGCAATGGAGATGGCCAAGCACAAGATCAACGTGAACGCCTACGCTCCGGGGATTGTTGGGACAGCGATGTGGGATCTCATTGATGAGAAGTTGGGCGAGATCGAAGGAAGGAAGAAGGGCGAGTCGGTCAAAAAGTATAGCTCGGATTTGACGGCGTTGGGACGCGTGAGTGTGCCAGAGGACGTCGGCAACGTTGTTGGCGGGTTCATGTGCTCAAAAGACGCGGAGTTTGTCACGGGCCAGACGATGGTCATTGACGGTGGCATCGTCTTCACTTGAAGATGTGAAGATGGAGAGGAACGAAGCAGGCATGGAGAACACATGCTGAATGGTATCCCGTATGTCCTTGCGTGTCCCTCGTGGGCGTTTCCAAAAAGACAAAGATTCCAGACAACGAGATGAAATGGACCTCCCTCAGCGACCCTATTGCCCCCCTGATCCGACATCTGTCCGTCCGTCTGCCTGCTTGTTCCTTCAATTTCCACCCGTCCCTTCTTTTCATTTTACTTTCTTTAATCCGCGCATGCACAGCCTGCCTACTCAGGATGGCCTGCGCCCTGCTTGGGCGGGTACACGTTCCCATTGACCTCGACCGTGGGCTTGCAGGTGCACCAGGCGTCCTTGGGTATCGAGTCCATGACGCTGGGGATGTGTCTCCCGCAACCCCACCACGTCGTCTTCTCTGCTCGGACCCCGAGTTAGTGCATGTTTTCTTTCATTTCCAAGGCGTCGTCGTGCCAAGAAATTCAAGGCGAAAAGAGCGCGCAGGGGATGGTTCCCCAAGGGGGAATGGGGCCGATTGGCTGATGTGAAGGAAAGATACTTTACTTGGGATGGGAAGAAGGAAGTGAAGGAACAGAAGGCGAGAGGAGAGGAGGACATGTTTCCCCTCAGCTCTCGAGAATCAAAGGAGTCTAGGAAAAAGGGGATGGGCAGGGAGACTTACGACAAGTAGGACACGTTCTCTTCATGCACATCTCGGTATATATGTTGTCGTCGTGTGTTCGTTTTCCGTAAGGTTTTAGCTAACTGGTCCTTTCTTGCCCCTGTTTTGACTTTTGGCCTGATCGTTTGTGAGCCTGGTTTGGTTTGAATTCTGCACTTGATGTCAAGACGCCGTGCGGCCGTGAAGTGACAGATTATATATGAATATATCTACGTCTACCAAAAGGGTCAGGATATCTTTTCCACCGTAATATCCGGGAAATCACCAAGCACAAGACCAGCTAAACTAAACGCGGATCATTCTTCATACCAAGTACATCGTGACATTTTTTGCCCCTCTATTTCTGGGCTATTCTAGCATCGGGGACTGCCTTCCATTGGGGGGGAGCAAGCACGAGGAGGCACGTTATTCAGTATCATTATTAAACGTATTTGCTACAAGTAAGGCAGTGCTTGGTCTTTTTTTGCCCCCCCCCCCCCCCCCCCCTTTGCATCCCCCTTGCATTAGAAATGAAATCGCCCTCCATCGGATCCATCACTTGGTAAATTCGACGAGGCCGAAAGCCGCTTGATTCGTCACGTCACCATTGCCTGTTCGAGTTGGTGACATTCTTTGAAACCTCTTGGCCCCTGCTGGACTGCCAGAGACTGGACCCCGCTAAGGGGAAACCGGCGAGATGGTTGGAAAATCTGGGTAGACCCCGAGGTCGCCGAGGGTGGGTGGTCGTGGACTCGTGGGTGGGTCAGTGCGCGAAGACTCGCAAGACCATTCTGCAACTATCAGAAAGAGAGAAGGTCGCAAGGAAAATGGGAAACATTAGTCTGGATATACTTCTACATAAGCGAGTCGGAGACTCGTGGTGCATTAGGAGCCTCGAGTCGTGGAGTCATGGAGTCATGGGTATCGTAAACAGCAATCATAATGCGCTCAGAACATGCAGATCCTCCCGGACGCTCGCACATCGTCGGGATACCTGTTGGAGTCCGTCGTCGTGGCTTTTAGGTGGTCGTGGCCAGGTAACCATGTCCGCCATTGTCGTTGCTGTACGCTGCTGTCCCCTGCTGTGCCCTCAAAGTCGTGCTTGTTGACCGAACCGGGAACTGAGTGCCCCCGGTTACAAGCACCAACTCAGCCCGAACCAAAAAAGAACGATTGCCAGAACAAGGGCTGTCGACCACTTCGTCCTCTCACCTGCGTTGACATTCTGATTCGAGTAGACGCACGCCCATCCGGAGAAAATCCCCCCATTGCCGCCGCAACTCAGCGGTCGCAGCGGCGGTTCCGATATGCCATTAAATACGCATTTCTGCGTTGTCCAGTCGGCCGAATTCAACCTTAGGACCCAGCCAGTAGGGCAGCACGTTGCCCACGCCGTGTTGTCGCTGTTCTGCTGCAGGATGAAGCAGAAGTTTTGCGGGCAAAGTGAGTTTGTGGATGGGTTGGGACAGGAGGCTTGTCGCGAGGCGATGGCGCCTATCTGGCTTCCCATGCCGAGAATATCCATCTGAGATATCGACTCCGAGATGTTGAGATGCTGAATTAAAGCTGCGGAGTCCACCGGATCTGTCTTAAGGTTGTGGACAATCGGGTTTGTCCACACTGCCCATGGGAACAGGAGAAGTGCTATATGGAGTGTAGAGAGAAATCCAATCATTGCGACGCCGTTGCGATGCTTTCGATGATGGCGCGCAATCTAGAATGCCTTTGACCATGTATTTCAACGGATTGGATGGGCTGATGGGAGAAATAGCCTGGAAGTCAGCGGCTGGGAGAGATCGAGAGATATCGGAGAGCGGCTGCTGACTAAGGCATCAAGCCTCGCTTGGTGTGGCAGGGAAGCGACGGGATTGGCTCGTCAATGCCTCAGGCTTGATCGGGCGTGCGCACATGGCCAGGGTGACCTTGGGGTGACCTTGTAAAGCCTCACGCCTCACCTGAGCCTTGCCTGCAAATTCCGGACGTAGGGTGATACAGCCTCCGCAGACTTCAGAGTGAGTACCGCTGCTTGTTGTGCAATAGGCAGCACCTCCTCAAGCGTGCGACCCTTAGCAAGGCCTGCGACGATAACACCCAACATTGTGTCACCAATGCCGTTGACAGACACTATTTCGTTCTGTTCGACTTCAACGAATGGTGGAATCAACCGCATATACAAACCATCTATTTCAGACTCATGGGACAAATTTCTCGACAGCACATATGGGGCGTTCTCTGGCTGTGTGAGTCTCGGATCTCCACGCCGCAGCAGGCAAGCCAAGAGACACCCTCGATGTCCGAGCTTTGTCACCAGATTTGGGATAAATGGAAGAAGCTGGATACACTGTTGCGGGATCCCATGTTCGACTAAATCATAACCCGCGACAGAGATCAATCGATCCCGAGAACCCGTGCCGGAGAGACCGAGGCTGTCGATTGTGTTCCACCACTGCTCTGATTCAAACATCAGCGCGTTTCTGGCCGAGTTGTAGATTGCTGTTAACTCGAGCCTGTTCGGAGACGCAAGGCTAACAACATGATTTGGCACTACATTAGCACTGACGATGGCAGAGTTGTCCTTGTGGAAAAGACGAGCAGCCTTTGCAACAGAAACAGGTTCGAACGCAACAAAGGCCTGGTGGGCTTTCGCAGCGGTCAAGATAGACGAGAGAATGGCCGGAGACCAGTTTGCGTCGATGACCACCCACTTCGGCTTGCTTTCATCCATCTTTGTCATCCAATAGTCTGGCGATTCGAGTTCCGGGCGAGCAAATATCGACATATCTGCCATCGCAACCATGAGATCTTTGTTTGTGTCATTGACAGCGACATACTGTGCTGTTCGCGCACCGTCATTGGTGGAAAGCCGTCGTATGGCCGTCGTCCCAAGACCGCTTTTCTCAACATGATCGAGAAGAGATTCCCCAGCCAGATCATCCGCCACCACACTCGCCAGTGTGACTCTTGCACCTGCCAGATGGGCGGCCATGGCAACATTACGGCCGACCCCGCCGGGTGACTGAGAAATTGTGGACGGATTCGAAGTGTGAAGCGTTGGAGTGGTTGAGTCTGGTGTGATTTTGAACGGCCGATGGTCACACATTGTATCACTTGCGAGCGATCCAGCGACAAGTATTTCCACTGGCTGAAAGGACTGTTCAACTGCCCCGTTTACTGGATCTGATTGGCTATTCGGAGCACTTTGAGTGCTCATTGTAGGTTTGGCAAAGTTCCCACCCCGGATGACCTTGCTGGCATTCTCTCTAGATCGTGTCAGCAAGTGCCTTGTCTACCCTGTGAAAAGCCTAACATAGCTCACCGCTGAGGCCCAGCTCCACGCCGTCTCTCAAGCTTCGCCAGCTCGACGGCGACTTTAGTCCCGCGGACGACATTCGCTTCAATCAAGGCCTCATTTGCCCGCACACTCCCTCCTTTGCTTAGTTCCCGAATCCGCTTTAAGATGTAAGGAGTGTTGGCACTCCCACCAATGCGTTTCTGCTCGGCTTCGGCGACTGCTTGAGTAATAATTGAATCGATCTCTTCCTTTACCATTGCTGAGTGTTCTGGGACCGGATTGGCAAAAAGCAGTCCAGAATGAACGGGAAAACCGTATTGTGCATACATAATAGCCGCGGCATCAGCTTCATCCTGAATTGTCTTGGGGCTTTTGACACCGCTATCGCGGGAGAAGAAGGCGGGGAAGTCGACATCTCCTTGTCTGCCGTCCGCAAAGGTGGCTACGCCCACCCCCTGCGTCTCAAGATATTCCAATGTGCGCGGGATATCCAAGAAACTCTTACAACCGCTTGCAATCACCGCCACTGGTGTTCGTCCAAGTTCCGTCAAGTCTGCGGAAATGTCCATGGAGTTCTCCCCTCCACGATGAACACCGCCGAGGCCACCTGTTGCGAAGACCTTGATGCCCGCCAAGTGCGCAAGGACCATTGTCCCAGCAATGGTTGTGCCCCCATTTAGCTTTTGACCTCGAAGACCAAGACCTCCGATGAAACCCAGATCTCGTCTTGATATCTTCCACGTATTCTCACTGCCGGCAGTGGACACAAGTTGTATGAGTTCTTCAGTAGCCATGCCAACACAGGCCTTGCCTTCGAGGATGCCGATGGTTGCGGGCACGCCGCCGTTGACACGTACTAGGGATTCCAGGTGGGAGGATAGAGCAACGTTTTCAGGGTAGGGGAACCCTGATGACCTGTGAGCCTTGAACACCCTGTACTGGGCTGGACAGTGTACCATGCGTGTAAATCGTAGTCTCCAGTGCAACGACTGGTTTACCAGTTACCAGGGCATCCTGAACTTCTTCTGATATGCGGAAGAATTTATCTCGACCAGAGGAGTTCTTGCGTCTTTGGCAGCCGAATCGCAGGGGTTTGGGGTACGCGGAGCGTAAAAACAACGATCTCCTGCACAAAGCCATTACTCGGACACGGCACGACGATGGCTTGACAGATCGACAAAGAAATTTGCGGCCAAAGTCAACCCAATCCGCATATTCAGCCTTGCCTGCTGTGATTGGCACCCGGTTGTGCATAAGGCTGACTGGAAGTTGCCGATGCTATACGTCATAATATTCGACGCGGAGTGACCACAATGGGATGCACTGACCAAGTTTAAGAAGGCCAATCACCGCATTTCTAACTCAATCTTTCGATTTACTTCCAGTCTGCTCTCTTGGACAAGTAGTTAATTTCACACCGTGTACCCTCGAACAACATGGTCCGCGTAGAAATCGGCGGCAGGCCCATCATTGATGTTGACACCCGCCCAGGCGATGTTGGGCGACTCAAACAGCAAATCCGGCGTAGGATGCGAGGTGGCCGAACTGTACATCTGAGCTGGACAACGACCACGCCTCGACTCGTGTTGACGAGTGACACTGAAGACTTTGACCCGACAATAATATCTCATTTCCAAGAGGAAGGATTTCAGCTGAGCTATCTTCAATATGAAGGAGACAAGGCGGCCTATATGGCACAGCTCCAGCACTTACAAGACCCCCTGGAGCTGGGGGAGCGCTATGCTATCGTAGGTAAGTGAAGAACAGGTACATACTATGCTCGAGACATGTCGTCGATTTCTATTTTGTGTGCACCCTCTATCGACAACCGACCCCCTAGGATTTCAACGCCCACTCAATTTCAAGGATCTGACTGTCTTTTTCTTTCCAGCCTACGGCGATGCTGCAACTCTGGTTCTGGAAGCTTGTATGAAGCCCATGCCCAAGCTTGTTGCTGTTGTCGCATACTATCCAGGACATGTCCCAAAGACCACAACCAGTTTCCCTCCGACCTTGAACGTGTTGATCCACCTGGCCGCCTCGCAGAGATGGGGCACACGCTTCCCGTCATATCGCTACGAGAACACCCGACCAGGCTTCGCCGAGCACGACCTCGAGGAATTCGACAAGATTGGCACCTCGTTAGCCTGGTCGCGAACGCTAGGCCTGCTTCGCTTAGCCTTTGATATCGAGGGGCCCGACCTTGAAACAATCTGGGAGGCTCATACGCGACTCGAGTTTGGGGAAAAGGACGTCGATAAGACCATGGCGACCATGGTGCCTCAGCCATACGTGAACCACGTCCCCACCATGACGGGTGGAATCGGTCACGACCAGCTTCGCCGATTCTACGCCGACTTTTTCATCCCCAACAACCCCCCCGACATGCGGATACGGCTCCTGAGCCGAACGGTTGGCGTGGACAGGGTGGTCGACGAGATGTTTGTCTCATTCACACACACCACCGACATACCCTGGATGCTGCCGGGCGTGCCGCCAACGAACAAAAAGGTGGAAGTCGTGCTGGTCAGCGTGGTGTGCCTGCGTGGAGGCAAGTTGTTCCACGAGCACATCCACTGGGATCAGGCGACCGTGCTCGTGCAAGTGGGACTGCTGGATCCAAAGTACATTCCGAAGACATTCAGGACCGCCGAGGAAGGGAGGGAGGAGGAGGTCGAGAGGCTACCTGTTTGGGGAAGGGAAGCCGCGAGGAAGGTCCTGGACGAGGACAGTTCGGAGAGCAATGAGTTGATTCTAGATTGGTGATGGATCAACTGTTGAAGGAAGCTTTTTAAATTTAGTCCCTAGGAAGGCGACTTAATCAATCATCTGTCGACGTGGGATCTGATGTAGTTCTAAGGTGAAGAAAGAGAGAGAGAGAGAGTCGTTGATTCGTTAAACTCTAGCCTTGACCTGCGAAGTGGGTACTGTATGGTATGTAGTAATGATATAGCAAATCTCTCCCTGGACGGCACCAACAGTTGTGCCTAGATCAGACGCCGTTCGTCAACGCTGAGCCCGATAAAACGCAGCCTCGTAGCACGCCATTCGACATCAAAACGAACCCGACGAGGCTTCCATTACAACTTTCCGCGACCAAGCCTCCTCCTGTGGAACGCTTCAACCTTGGTGTCGACCTGGTCGTCGCTCAGTTTCAACTCGTCCCAGATCTCCTTGAATCTCTGCAGCTCCGTCCTGGCGAAGTCCTCGACGTCGCTCCACACCCGCCTCCTCGTGCCTGTGCGCTTGTTGACGACCTCCAGGTCCGGCGTGAGGCGCTGGGTCTTCAAATACTCCCTGCCCAGCCGTTGGCTCTCCTCGGGGTCTAGTATGTGTTCCAAATGCGGGATCTGCTGTCCGGACTCGATCTTCATGTGCTCCAACAGCTCCGCGAAGAGTGCACGCAGGGCGTCGAGGAACTGGTCCCCTTCGAGTGGAACGTGGAACAGTGAGAGCAGTTCGGAGCGGGCTCTCTCATGGTCTGTCCGGTCGTGTTCGGCCATTTGCACGCCCTCATCGCCAAGGTGCTCGATGAAAGCGGGCCGCATGACGATGTCTTCCGACACGTCATGCCGGACGAGTCGCCAGGTGACTTCCCTCAGGAGGCGGGCACGGTCCTGGGGTGCCTTAGCCCTGAGAAGGCGCCCAGAGACTTTGTTGATGGTGTTGTGATCATGGTCGATGACGGTGGAGAATGTGAGGGGAGGATCGTACGGGAGATTGGGTGAACTGGCGTCGTAGTGACTCGCATCAGAGGACGATTGAGAGCTGGATGAAGACGATGGAGCTGCCATGGTGGGGGCCGGAACCTGGACTTGAACCTGTACGGATATGAAAAAGGTGATGATGGTCGTCGCACGGCACCAAACTTTCAGCGTGGAAATTGAGCTCGTGCTGAAGGTAGCGGTGTCTGTCGGAACAGATGAGGACAGGATGAGCGGGCGCCTGTAACAGCTTTACCAGGACCCTGCAAGGGCCAATGTGTGAAAGTACCGCAAGAGCCTCGTATAGCCCAACCCACCAGAGTGCCATGAGCTTCTGAAGGACATGGAGGGGCCGTGCCCTGCGTGATGGAGACAGCGGAAGTGTGAGAGAGAAAAGCATGAAAGGTGACCTTACAGTGGCGAAGCGGCCCAGCATCAATCTCGCAAAGCTTCTAACTGCCCAAGTGTCGCATGGCTCCCTGCAAAGCATGACCCTCTATCAGCGAAATGTCCCCAATCATGTCTCGACAATAGAAACAAGAGGGGCAAGCAGGTGAATTTTCCAAGCTTGTAGCCCGACATTGCTTTGAAGGAGTTGGCCAAGTGTGACGAATCAAAGGGAGAAACTCTCGGAAAGACGGGAGCAAAAGTACATTGGGAAACGGCAAGGCCGATGTTACTCGCCCGATCAAGTCTAGGCCATTTCAAGGGAATCGGAGGAGACACAGGCCAGATAAACCAAGGGCTAGGGTTAATCGAATTGTTTGGAGGTTGGATGAAAGACTCTCGATGATCAAGAACGTAGAAGGTCTTTGACAACGAATTCGAGTGCCCAATAAACCCCAAACCGTGATCCCATCGCAGCACTTCCCTTTACAGGACACTGCCCCATCAGGTCCGACTTCGGACGGCAGAACTGGTAACTACTAAGTCATAATGCGCTCAAACGCAGAAGAATAGAAACATCAACATGAAGCACTAAGATAGACAAGCAACGCATCGCCTATTTTTCCAGGGCGGGAATAACCAGCAACGAACCCTCACGCCGATCCAGGTTCGCCAGCATCATACACTTCCCGGCTGTCCCAAATCCGCCGTATCAGCGCCTCCTCCGATGAAAGTCCAAAATGCTCATCGTCCTGGGCACCATCAAGATTGCCCTGCGACGGTGTCACCTCGATATCATCATGGCTGCTCTGGCGCTGAAAATGGACTCTACCCCCATGGCCTCTACTGTTGGAGCGTGACAACAAAGGGGATGGCTTTGGGTCCTCCAAACTCCGGCTGACGCCAGTCTTCGTGTGTCCGTTCACATTCATCACACTGGGTCCACGCCGACTCTGCGGTCTGCTCTTGGAGTATGCTCCACTAGAGGCGACGGAGCCAACGTCTTGAGGCAGTGAATTGCTGTCCTTGAGTCGGTTCATGCTTTCAACGACTGGACTGCGGAACCTCCTAACCACCATCAGCTGTTTGACGGCACTCTCATAATCCTGCTTCGCAGCTTTGATTTCCCCGGCCAGCGATCGATTTCTATTTCTGGATCCTGCGCGGCCGTGCATCGCCGTCCCAGACCCTAGTTGGAGTCCCATGCCAGCCGGGGGAGGGGTTGTAGGTGTCGCCACGCCTGCTCTCATGATCTCCCTTCTCTGCAGCTCAAGCTTCTGCTGCGTTCGGGATGGATTCTGGGATATCCTTGCCTTGTGAAGAGTCCTGGCCTTCTCCGGGGATTCCGACGGTTGGGGTTTGTAGTTGGAAAGAAAGTTTGATGGGGAGTCTTCATCAGAGTCGTCTACAATATGGCGGACGGAGCCGGCTGGAGTGTCTGTCGGTAGGAAATGTGAGACACCACCTTCTACAGACGAGGACACCAAAACGGGCCCAGACACGGGGCCGAATGATGAAGGAGTAAGTTTCCCGGAGGCAGGGGTAAGGGCAGTGTGACCCGTGTTCGTTGTTGACGAAGTGGCGTCGGCGTGGGAGATGTGGGTGAAGGATCTGGACGAGTCGTTCCGCACCAACTGGCTAGGTCCAACGTGCGCAGAAACAGTCGACATTGCTGGAGGGGCACGAGAGGACCGGGGATATTGTTGAAGCAGCGCAGGATCAGCAGGGTTCTGCGACTGCAATATAGCCGACTCATTCTTGAGGTTCGGCGCAGATCGATTCTTGGTCTTTAAGGATGCTTGGGGAGGCGAGGACGTCATTTCGGGATGGCTAATGTCCGGGTCTGTAGGGCGTCGAGGTGCTGCCTCACCATTGGGCGTATGTGCCCTCGCTGGCGTAGATGTCTTGGAATTATTGCGTGTGAGTTCGGGAGACTGCGTGGTTGAGTCCTCCCATTCACCCTCTTCTTCATCGTCTGAAGATCGGTCACCAAGTTGAAACATGCCATCTTTCTCTCCCTTGCTCTTCCGTCTAACTGCCGGCGTCAATCCGACCTTCTTCAGGGCTCCGTGGGAGACGTTTCGTGGCAGAGCGTTGGCGGATTGATTCTTGCGCAGGTTTCCGAAGGAGGTATTCTTGACCAAGGTGACATGGGAGCTGTTGCGTTTTACTAGCGGCGTTCTCGGGCTGTGGGGAGGTGAGGTGCCTCCTGACTTTTTCCGCTGGTGATGGTTTTGATAGTCGGAAGTGATGCTGGCGGTGGATTGGACCTTGCCTAGTTTACTGAGTCCCTTTCCGTGCGAGACATTTCTTGAATGGCGATTGACGACGTGGGGACGGTGGGCTTTATGGGTGGTTGTTTGCCTGCTCGAAGAACTCAGAGAATGGGTCGAGGACGTGCGCTCGTTTAGCGAGGGCCGTTTGATGGGAGAGGGGGAAGCGGAAGGCATTGTGTTGAGCCCATCGATCGAGAGGTGCGGAAAGCGGTCAGAGCTCTTGATACCGAGTAAGATTATTCTCTGGAAATGGGTGTGCTAGATGAAAGCTGCGATCAGGTACGTAATTGTTCAGGAGAACACGAGCGCAGTTTAAGATCGTTGATCGTTGATCGGGTCAAAAAGATGTTGGCGGCGAGGCGGTTGCCGATGCTGCTTCTGGACTTTTGCGGGATGCCCGCTTTGAAGGAGCTCCACTACCACCGCTAATACCATCTGGCAGAGGGGCCGTGTCACCCCGTGCTCCTCATATACTGGGTACTCCTTTTCTCTTATTCTCATTTTTGATTGTGTCCTCATGAATCTCCAGGCAAGTCTTTATGCCAGAAGACTGTGTCTCGATGCATCTTCTACATTCGACTAGTTATCTAGTGAATGAGTCAAAATCCAGATCCGAACAATGCCTCTAGGATGTCGCAGTGAATGGACTTATACCGAAAGGGTTACAATGCGAGTTTCTCCCATGATCCAGACTCTCGATCCACGGCATATCGTCAAGATGGCCACATCTTGATGAGAAGGGAATGTATTGTTTTGATGGAGTCTGAAAAGGCTTTGCAGCAGAGCAATCGCCTTTTACTACATTCTTCATGTGCTCGACACGACTGTACACCGACACAGTCGTGGTCGGCATCGGCGCTTCTGGGAATTATCTATGTCCATACGCAGATTAATTCGATCTCAGAAATGCAGAGGACTACGTACATACCAACACGTGTACGATCCAACCACAACGGCCTGCATTCTAACCCATATCCGACATGTTTGTGGGCCGGGCACCGGCCATTCTCCAGATCACGACTAGGACGACCGCCACACCTTACTGGGAATCTCTCTTCCCTTTTAATCGAATGGCCGTTTGCCGGTTCCAAAAAAAGATCAAACCCTCGCCATGTATCATCGACCGGGGGGAAGCCGAGTAGATCCCCTAGACTATGAACTCGGTTGTCTCCTGGACATCTTCTGCAGAGAACTTCGTTGTCAAAGTTGTCTGAACGGACAAAGCACTGACTACAATATCGCAAGCAAGGTACTATCTACTTGACGACCAATCATGAACTCATACGAAGAATCCAGTGTACCCTTTTTGCTAGATATCAAGGATGATTCAACCGAACGATTCATTACTCGTGAAAAGCTAGCCTCGAACTCCAAGAGGCTCTTGTGGTGGACCTTTTGC